GTTTCCGATAACTAAGCTCTGGAATCACCGTCTGTTTGCCTACTAGGGTCAAGTAAAGGTCAGAGTCACTAAAGCACTGAGCCTAGTTCTGCTGGGTCATTAAATATCCTTCTGCTAATCGCTTTCATTGAGGTCGGATTTCGGATTTCAATACAAAAAATTATTGAGCGTTTGGGCCGTAGCTTTATGTTATTGAGAATTAACTGATAGGGACAGCAACTCTACTAAGAGAGACAACTCTAAAATCAAACAACTGCTGCCTTGTAGTTTGTTCTTGGTTGGACAAAGGCTATGGAAGCAAATCCAAAAAGAAAAGCAGGCTGAAATCGGAGCCAACGGCCTATATGGCGCATTGACACGTAATACTTAACTGTGTTGTAGGGAATATTTTCCAACACTAAAATTAAGAACGAAGATGAAGGGAAGAATTGATTTTTATGTCCGTGTTTTTGTTCAAAGAACACCCTATTTCTTATTGATTCTGTTTGCTTTTTTTATTGGTAAAAATATGAAAATTTAGTGTCACCGAGGTACACAAAGCTGTTTGATGAGCTGTGTGATCTACGCGATCTAGGGGGAGGGGGGACGGGGGACGACAATATAAACTTTATATAGGGGAGAGGTTCTCAAAATTTGTTATCGCGTTCTTTTGATATAGAAGATAATAGGGTCGTCCATAAATGACGTCACACTAGTAGGGGGAGGAGGGTTCCTTATTTTTGTGACGGTGTGTGGTGAGGGGGAGGTGGGGTGGTTCAGATGGTATGACGTCACACTTTTGCATCATAAAAAAAGCACTGTTAGAAAACGAATTTTAGACGTTATTTCGCGTTTTAGAAAACTGTTTTAATAAATTGTAATAGGAATTGATTAAAATACTCTATGTTGACGGAGTTCAGACATGATTTTGGAAAAATAACGTATTTTAAGAAAAATTCAGCTACAAATTTTAGGGTGGTTGTAGGCTGAGGTGTAACGTCATTTTAGGGGGGGGGGGGTCTGGCTTTTTGTGACGATATGTGACGCAGGGGAGGGGGAGGTAAAAATCGTCAAAAAAAACCGTGACGTCATTTATGAATAACCCATAAAAAGTGGGACATCGATTTTGCCACTCCATAAAAATTTAGTTTTTCCTCTTTTATCTTTCTAGAATCCCAAACTTTTCCAATCACGTATATAAGAAATTGTTTAAAGGTTTGACGGAGTCTTAAAGACTCTGGTTAGTAAATATAGACGTTTATTACGCACAGTGTATTATACACAGTGTTTCTTCCGGGCATCTATCATTTTTTCTTGGAAGGGGGGGGGGGGTACGAAAACCGTCTACAGCCCCCCCCCCCCTCTTGAACGAAATATAATTTATATAGAAAATATATTTTTTACCAGTGTTCGCCCCCCTCCCCCGAAAATTTCAAGTGACCACCCACCCTCACCCCCTGGAGAAAAACGTCTAAAAGAAAGACTGGTTATTTTGTTGTGGAGATGTGGAACAGCGATGGTGAGAAGTGAGGTAGTCATGATATTAAGTAAAAACACGAACTGGATAGAAGTTTCAATAAATAAAGTATAAGCTAAGTACTTAATTGTAAAGATCAGAAGGTATTTCATTGAAATGACAACGTTATGAGTCCTAATAAATATAGGGTTGGAAGGTTGGGGAAAGGGGGGGGGGGAATTGTACCTCATTGAAATGTGGTGTACTTTTGACACGGGGGTGTTACCATAAATGTTGTAGAGTTTCCTTTAGTACTTGCAGTAAACTAACGAACTCACGACATTCAAACCATCACTTCACTGTTCTAACCGCTATACCACGCCATACTCTTAATACAAGAAAATCCACTTTGCAAAATGTTTTTTTTTTAAATTAATTAAATGTTAAGTACATGTTGATGAAAATATTAATATTCTGCGTTTTTATGGTTGTTAAATTCTTTACTCTTTGCTTACGTATTTCCTTCTGATGTCTCCAGCTACATTATTACCGCCCCTTTGTTATTTTTTTTTAAATGCTAACAGGAAAGATTTAATACGAAATAATTCAAGGGACGCCATTCGGCATAAATTTACACACTGCTAAAGCGTTGATAAAAATAAAATCTCGCCACTCGTGTTTTGCATAAGCCTGCATAAGAGAAGGCCATAATCTTATTATCTTAAATTATAATAATTAATGAGTTAGCCAAGGAATTATCACGAATTTTTTTTTTAAATTTAAAACATTAAATATATTTTTCTAGACTAAATTATGTTTTTATAATAGTGTTTATGTAAATTGGATTAATAGCCTTCGTGAAATAGAGTCATGCAAGTTTGTCAAGATATGTGACGTCATGTGTGGATTCTTCTTAAGATAGCCGTAGGCCTTGATAATATATTGTTCATTTTTAACAGAGATGTTTGCATACATTTTAATCAACTTTTAATACCTTTCACATGCCAGCTTAAGGCTCGATTAGGTAAGACACGTAATTTAAATTCTAGGAAAATAAAGTCATCAACTATTGTTCTCTGGTAATTATTAGACGCGGGACTGCATGGTCGAATGGTAGAGTTTAAATCCGAGTTCACGTCCACAGACTTCCCTGAGTCCACTCAGCTCTAATGGGTACCTAACTTACATTAGTGAAATGTAAAGCCGGTTGGGCAAAAAGTTGACTACATTGGCCCTTTAAATGCGGAGGTCACAGAAACATGTCTGATTCTTCTTTGTTCTTAATAGGGCTTGTAAGTTGGTTACCAAATTTTCGTTTTCATACTTGCCAGCTAGAGATTTTTTTTAAAAACCAAATGTGAATATTACAAGCTTTTATTTAACTCGCTGTCTGTGTCGTCAGTATAGATCGAAACGCCCGAGCAAAAATTCGGGCACTTCTAACTGACAGATTTGGTTTATATTTGGTACGTGGGTCAAGACATGAAGACAACTCAACGTGAAATTAAATTTGACTTAATTGGTTGCCTGATTAATTTTTTATAGTTATATAAATTGTGGTGTATTATTATATATTTTAAGAAATTTATTTATTATCTATTTTTAGTGCATTATTACATAAAGGCTTGCTATTAAAACGTTTTTTTTATGAATTTTTAAAATTAACAATATGAATCACGTTCACAACAATTGATTTACTTCGAAAAATATTTCTCTCTCCCTGGCTAACGAGACTTGAATTTAAGTGAGAGAGAACGAGAACTTACAAGCTCTATTGTAGTTCCTTTAACGTTAACACAATTAAGTATTACGTGTCAATACATTATGCGCTAAATAAGCCGTTGTCTCCGGTTGCAACCTGCCTTTGTGTTTGGATTTATTTCCCTAGCTTTTGTCCAACCAAGAACACACTACAGATTAATAGATTTTTGGAGTTGTCTCCCCTGCATGGGTTGCTATCGGGCTTGTCTACCTTGAGATCAGGGTTTCTTTCAGAATTTTTTATCTCCGTTAAGGGGGGCGGGGGGGGGGGGGGGGGAGTACTTAAACTTTTCGAGGGGGGGGGGACTAAATTCTCCGGGGGGCGGATTAATTTTCCGGGGGGGGTACTTAAACTTTTTGAGAGGGGGGCTAAATTTTCCGGGGGGCGGATTAATTTTCCGGGGGCGGATTAATTTCCAGGGGGGGGGGGCGGCGGAATCTGGTAAAATTATATATTTTCTATATAAATTCAATTTGCCAGGGTTCTAACTCGAAATGTTTCGGTTTAGCAGCCATGAGCTTTACCGAACCGACCACTCCAACACTAACCGTCTTGTTCAAAAGGAAGTGTTAATAGTTAGGTTCATCGTTATAGTTGTAACATATACAAACGAGCCGACCCGCGGCGTATCATACGCCGCTAACGTCGCTATTTATTTGTTTTATTTTCTACTTTTCAGTAATTCATAATTTGTAAATTCGACAGTACCAATGCTGCCACTGAAAATATTTGCTTTAAAATACTATCATTTGGTCGTTAAGGACGATACCCCCCCCCCCCTCATTTCCCCCAACCCCTACCCTACCCCCCTCACCCCGTGAAAGCAGCCTCCTCTTAATTACCTTCCCTAAGTTTAAAATAGTTTTAAACTAAATTATCTGCCCCTAATAGGAGTCAATAAACCCGGCTCTATGATTGTAAACATTTAGCGTGAACCACAGCTCACCAGACCATGTGGGGGTGGGGGAGGTTGATTTATGCCTAGTGAAGAAGAGAGGGGACTGCAAGGCGCGCTTACATCTTGTTTTCTAGCGTCTCCCAGAAGAGAATTATATATATACGAGCCGACCCGCTGCGTATCATACGCCGCTATTTAGTTGTTTTTTTCTACTTTTCAGTAATTTATAATTTGTGAATTCGACAGTACCAATGCTGCCATTGAAAATATTTGCTTAAACACACTACCCCCCCCCCCCCCCCCCCACGTGAAAGCAGCCTCCTCTTAGTTACCTCCTCTAAGTTTAAAATCGTTTCAAACTAAATTATCTGCCCCTAATAGCCGTCACCAAACCCGTCTCTGTGATTGTAAAATGTAAACAGAGTAACACCGGTGACCAGATCATGTGGGGGTGGGGTGGGGGTGGTAGTGATAGAGAGGAAGAGAGGGGACTGCAAAGGCGCGCTTGCAGCTTGTTTTCTAACTGATCCCAGAAGAGAATTATATATATAGATAGATACTAGCCCTTAGTCTGGAGTTAGGAATCCGTACAGAAGAACGACAGTATGGATTCCAACAAAATGTACCCAAACAGTATGTCAGTACTGTCTTTTAAAGCAGCGCGATGACGTTAAAAGCAATGTTTCTTCCAGATTTTTTCTCCGGGGGGGGGGGGGAGACTTGATATTCCGGGGGGGGGGGGGGGGGGCGGTCTAAAATATTCGGGAGGGGGGAGACATTGTTAAAAGTATATATTTTCTATATTAATCCCCCCACCCCGAAGAGATGTCCGGAAGAAACTCTGGTTAAAAGACTAGATGGAATTGTATTCAAACTTGACACACTCAAATTTTTGTTCCCTAGGGTCCCCATCATGTGCATAACCCGGAGCCGATCGCGGCTTCTGCTGGGCGTGGTCTGTGTTCTGGCACTGTTTCTTAACGGCGGCTACATCGTGTGGCACTCACGTGCGTACAGGAGGTTGCTGCTGCAGGAACAGGGTGAGTACGTCTGTTGGTGGTGTGATGGTGAGTACGTCTGTTGGTGGTGTGATGGTGAGTACGTCTGGTGGTGGTGTGATGGTGAGTACGTCTGTTGGTGGTGTGATGGTGAGTACGTCTGGTGGTGGTGTGATGGTGAGTACGTCTGGTGGTGGTGTGATGGTGAGTACGTCTGTTGGTGGTGTGATGGTGAGTACGTGTGGTGGTGGTGTGATGGTGAGTACGTCTGGTGGTGGTGTGATGGTGAGTACGTCTGGTGGTGGTGTGATTGTGAGTACGTCTGGTGGTGGTGTGGTGGTGAGTGCGTCTGGTGGTGGTGTGATGGTGAGTACGTCTGGTGGTGGTGTGATGGTGAGTACGTCTGGTGGTGGTGTGATGGTGAGTACGTCTGGTGGTGGTGTGATGGTGAGTACGTCTGGTGGTGGTGTGGTGGTGAGTGCGTCTGGTGGTGGTGTCTGTCTTGTGTTGGTGAGATTATAGAATGTACGGGGTAGTCTTGGATTGGTGACCTTAAAGGTTCAAGTGGTAGTTAGGTTTGTGGAAGGTGGGGGTTGGGGGTAGTTGCCTTATGTCAGTCTTGTGTTGGTGAGATTATAGAATGTAAGGGGTAGACGCATATTTGGAGAGGGGGGGGCTGATGGCACTGATATGTCAGTCCTGTATTGGTGAGATTATATAATGTACGGGGTAGACTCATATTTCATATTTGGGGGGGGGGGATGATGTCACTGATATGTCAGTCCTGTGTTGGTGAGATTATAGAATGTACGGGGGTAGACTCTGATTGGTGAGCTTAAAGGTTCAAGTGGTAGTTAGGTTTGTGGAAGGTGGGGGGTTGGGGGTAGTTGCCTTATGTCCGTCCTATGTTGGTGAGATTATATAATGTACGGGGTAGACTCATAGTTGGGGGGGGGGGTGATGTCACTGACAAAGTCAGTCATGTGTTGGTGAGCTCAAAGGCTCATGTAATAGTTAGGTTTGCGGAGAGATGGGGGGGGGGGTGTCTAAAGTTCTTTGTTTGGTATAGATTTTGTCGGGGGTGGTGGGGGGGGGGGGAGAATAAAGCCAGTTTTTTTTGTGAGTCACATATACATGTGGTAGATTTAGATTGGGAGGGAGGGGGGGGGGGGTAGAGTTAGTCTTTGTTTGGTGAGCTTACAGATTCACGATTTAAATTGGCCGGGGGAGGGGGGTTGTTAAGCCAGTTTTATTTTTTTAAACTCACACCAGTTTTATTTTTTTAAACTCACACCAGTTTTATTTTTTGTGAGCCTATATAGTCAGGATGGGGTGGGGCAGGGGGTAGGATGAGTTGTCATAGATTCATACGGTAGAGTTCGAAATAAGAGTGGGGTGGGGGTCGTTGTGTAGAAGGGGTAGGGCGGATTTGCTTGTTGTAAGTTGTTTATCGGGAAGGGTTGGGTTGGTTTGATTGATATTCGTGTGTGTGTGGGGGGGGGGTTGAATCAAAGTAGCAGGTTGGTATTAGAGGTCTGAATTATAGACTTTAGTATGTAGTAACCTTGACATGAGTATGTACAAACAGCGTCACTGACATAAGTATGTACATTCAACATTACTGACATAAGTATGTACAACTAACATTACTGATATAAGTATGTACAACCAACATTACTGACAAAAGTATGTACAACTAGCATTTACTGACATAAGTATGTACAACTAACATTACTGACATAAGTATGAACAACTAAATTACTGACATAAGTATGTACAACTAAATTACTGACATAAGTATGTACAACTAAATTACTGACATAAGTATGTACAACCAACATTACTGACATAAGTATGTACAACCAACATTACTGACATAAGTATGTACAACTAAATTACTGACATAAGTATGTACAACTAAATTACTGACATAAGTATGTACAACCAACATTACTGACATAAGTATGTACAACCAACATTACTGACATTAGTATGTACAACTAAATTACTGACATAAGTATGTACAACTAAATTACTGACATAAGTATGTACAACTAAATTACTGACATAAGTATGTACAACTAAATTACTGACATAAGTATGTACAACCAACATTACTGACATTAGTATGTACAACTAAATTACTGACATAAGTATGTACAACTAAATTACTGACATAAGTATGTACAACTAAATTACTGACATAAGTATGTACAACCAACATTACTGACATGAGTATGTACAACTAGCATTTACTGACATGAGTATGTACAACTAGCATTTACTGACATGAGTATGTACAACTAGCATTTACTGACATAAGTATGTACAACTAGCATTTACTGACATAAGTATGTACAACCAACATTACTGACATAAGTATATACAACTAGCATTTAGTGACATAAGTATGTACAACTAGCATTTACTGACATAAGTATGTACAACCAGCATTTACTGACATGAGTATATACAACTAGAATTTACTGACATTAACTGACCTAATTATATACAACTAGCTTTTACTGACATGAGTATGTACAACCAACATTATTGACATTATTATGTACAACAGTATCACTAAGATAAGTACATACAACTAGCATTTACTGACATGAGTATGTATTTCTGTCTGGTTGAACTAAAGGGAGAGGACGCGAACATTTTCTCATCAGCAGCCGAGAATTTTCTTGTGTCGGGAGTTCGAGTGCTTGTAGACAGGGGTCAAGGACGAACACGAATACGGTGACAATGGGTGACTCCCATCAACAGGCATTAACTGCCACAGAAAGACAGAGAGGAACGATTAAAGTCAACGCCACTACTATCGACATGAACTCAAGGGAAGGAACTCAGGAAAATGAATTTAACAGCACAAGCGAGACAAGTCAAGACCAGTTGTGTCCCTTGTATTCGTCAACTTTACGTAAGATTAAAGCTATTAATTTTTTAAATATATCCTTACCTAGAATACTGTAAAAAAAAAGAATCTGTTTTTTTTTGGCGTAAAAATAGTAAACGAAACAACTTAGCAATTAGTAACAATTTTTTCTGCTAAAAATAACTAACAAAAATAATTATAATAGTATAGTATGATCTGGGGTTGGTTAGTAGTCTTGAATTGGTTTTTATTCTCAGACTTTATTATAAACATAGTACAAAAGTTGCTATTATATATATATATATATATATATATATATATATATATATATATATATATATATATATATATATATATATATATATATATATATATATATATATATATATATATACAGAGGCGTAGTGAGGGGTGGGGGCGAGGGGTGCGGACCGCACCGGGTGACACCATTTAGGGGGGTGTCAATAAGGCAAAAAATAGCAAAATATAGAGAATAATTCCACTTAATTATGTGATTAATTCGAGTGTTAAATAGTGTTTTTAGAGGTATACATCGAAAGTTTGAGGGGGGGGGGGTGCAAATTGAAAGTTTGAGGGGGGTGCAAATAAAAAATTGAAAGTTTGTCCCAGGGAAGGGTCGCCACGCCTCTGGGGGGGGGGGTGACACCATTAAGTGCCGCACCAGGTGACACCTGACCTCGCTACGCCACTGTATATATATATATATATATATACATATATATATATATATATCCACAGAAGGGGAGATAAAGTGTACGTGTGATGGGAAGACAACCCTTGAGGACTTGACCAAACTATTTCCCTTTGTCCAACCCGGTGGTAGGGTACAACCAACCGGCTGTCAGGCTAGGGAGAGGGTCGCTATCATTGTGCCTTACAGGTAAGTTCATAAAGGTCAGAGTTCAAAGGTTATAAATTATAGTTTAGGGTTTAACTGTCCTTACGCTAGTTGAAGCTGTTTTCTCTAAATTAAGTAGCATACCATGATAGTCACTGGATCTGATTGTTATGGTTTTTTTTCCAGTTTAATATCCCGACATTAGAGTTAATAGTTCCGGTAACTCACTGAAATATTGTCAAGATATTAACGGTAGTGATTAATAGCTGAAGGGTGATGTATCCTTGTTGTATACAGCATTTGTTAGTTTCCGGATATACCACCGGGTTATCGTGTTGGGTTATCGGATTATTGTCTGTTTTATAAAATCTTGCACCGTCTATCGTCCGTTTTCTTTAAGTCTTTTAATCCAGTAGGTACAGCCAATGATGAGGAAAGTTTTAGCCAGCTCTCTTTAATCGAGCTCACAATGATGAGCCAATGATGGGCAGCTCTCTTTACTTGAGCTCTTGTAAGACCCGCAACCCTTGCTTCTTCTTCATTTGTCCTTCTCCGGGGTTGCTTAGGTCTGCCTGCTTTTCTTTTTTTCCCTCTGTGGGTTCCAGTACAATGTTCGCCTCACCTCTCTCTAATCAGGGTATGTCCTATCCAGCTGAATTTGTTGGCTTTATTGTCCCTATCGGCTGTTGTTTTGGGATTTGTCTAAGCTCGTTTTTTGGACATTTGGTCATTAGGATTTGTCTTGGGCATCTGTCTATGAAGGTCTATATCCTGTTAGACATTTGGTCCAGCCATTGGTTCTTTAGGATTTGTCTTGCGCATCTGTCTATGAAGTCTATATCCTGTTAGACATTTGGTCCAGCCATTGGTTCTTTAGGATTTATCTTAGGCATCTGTCTATGAAGGTCTATATCCTGTTAGACATTTGGTCCAGCCATTGGTTCTTTAGGATTTTTCTTGAAGGTCTATATACTGTTAGACATTCCTTCAAGCCATTGGTTCTTTAGTATTTGTCTTGAGCATCTGTCTATGAAGGTCAATATCCTGTTGGACATTTGGTCCAGCCATTGGTTCTTTAGGATTTGTCTTGAAGGTCTATATCCTGTTGGACATTTGGTCCAGCCGTTAGTTCCTTTGGATTTGTCTTGGACATCAGTCTATGAAGGTCTATATCCTGTTAGACATTTGGTCCAGCCATTGTTTTTAGGATTTATCTTAGGCATCTGTCTATGAAGGTCTATATCCTGTTAGACATTTGGTCCAGCCATTGGTTCTTTAGGATTTGTCTTGGACATCTGTCTATGAAGGACTATATCCAGTTGGTATTTGACTTTGTAATCCTCGAGGTATTTTATTACTAGGGATGTCGGATTGTTGTCCGGTTTAGGGATGAGATTATTCCCTTGATAAGACCTCCCCAATCTAAGAGACCGCTGCCCCCACCTCCGGACCTTAACCACCTCCCGTCTCCAGGGACTGATACCCCCACATCGTGACCTCTATCACCTCCCCGTCCCCAGAGATCGCACCCCCCCTCCCCCCACGCTCCTGACTTTCATCACTTCCCCGCCCCAGTGACCTCTACCCCCACCTCCTGACCTTTATTACCTCCCCTTCCCCAGGGACCGCTACCCCCTTCCCCCCACCTGCTGACCTCTATCATCTCCCCGTCCCCAGTGACCTCTACCCCCTACCCCCACATCCTTACTTTTATCATCATCCCTGTCCCCAGGGACCGCTACCCCCACCTCCTGATCTTCATCCACATGATGATACCAGTGCTACAGAGGCAACATGTCGACGCTACACTGTTCATCATAGAGCAGGTAGGTAAACAATAGTGTATTCATTATCATCGATACTTAAATCAATCATGTATTCATGGTCATCGATACTTAAATCAATCGTGTATCCATTGTCATCGATACTTAAATCAATCGTGTATTCATTGTCATCGATACTTAAATCAATCGTGTATTCATGGTCATCGATACTTAAATCAAACGTGTATTCATGGTCATCGATCATATAAATAGATCTTAGTCAATAGTGAAACGATGGCCATCGATCATATATAGATCTAAAACAATCGTGTATCCATTGTTATCGATCATATCAATAGCTCTTAATCAATCGTGAAAAGTTGGCCATCGATGATATAAAAAATAGATATTTAACAATTGCGAATGCATGGTCATTGATCATATATAGATCTAAATCAATCATGTATTCATGGTCATTGATCATATAAAAAGATTTTAATCAATCGTGTAACGTTGGCCATCAATCATAATAATAGATCTAAATCAATCGTGTATTCATTATCATCCATCATATAAAATAATATAAATTGATATTACTCAAGTGTGAATTTATAGTCATTGATCTTATATAGATCTTAATCAATCGTGTACTTTTAGTCATCGATCAGATAAATAGATCTTAATCAATTGTGTATCCATAGTCACCTATTATATCAATAGACTTAATCAATTGTTTATCCGTGGTCATTGATCATATGTAAATTTTTATCAATCGTGTATACATGGTCGTGATTATACTAGATCTTAATCAATTGTGTACTATTGGTCATCCCTCATATTAATATATCAAAATTAATCGTGTATTCATGGTCATTGATGATATAAAATAATATAAATTGATATTAATCAATTGTGAATTCGTAGTCATTGATCATTTATCGATCTTAATCTATCCTGTACCGTTGGCCATCGATAATACAAATAGATATTATTTAATTGTGAATTTGTAGTCGTTGATCATGTATCGATTTTAATCAATTGTGAATTCAGTCATTGATCATATATCGATCTAAATCGATTGTGTACCGATGGTCACTGATCAGAACTGTCATAATTCTTATAAACATTTCAAGTCTTCAATGCTGGTATTTTTTTCATTCCAAAAGTTGTAGATTCTGGATCATTTAGTATTTTTATTTTATTTATTTATTTATTTATTTATTTTCATTTTATATTTTTGTGTCATAGAAATTTTTTTGTAAATTTCAATCATTTTTATTTTTTTATTTTTATTTCAAACAATGTATTCTTATCATTTTTATGCTAGATTTTTGTAACATTGCACTTTTTTTTTGTTTCTTCCCTTTACAAATTTTACCCATCTCCGAATCCACAGTTGTCCCCCTTATTTTTCAACCGTGGCGCCCTCCACAACATCGGCTACCTGGAGGCGCTCAAGCTTGACGCCTTCGACTGTTTCATCTTCCATGACGTGGACATGGTGCCAGCCAACGACAAACTTCTGTACACGTGTGCCGACAGTCCCAAGCACTTCTCGGCCATGGTCAAGTACATGGGGTTAGGGCAGAAGATGAGGTAGGTGGGTGGGGTAGATGGTGAGGTAGGTGGGTGGGGTAGATGTGGGGTAGATGGGTCAGGTAGATGAGGTAGGTGGGTCGGGTAGATGGTGCGGTAGATGGGTCAGGTAGATGAGGTAGGTGGGTCGGGTAGATGGTGGGGTAGGTGGGGTAGGTGGTGGGGTAGGTGGGTGGGGTAGATGGTGAGGTAGATGGGTCAGGTAGATGAGGTAGGTGGGTCGGGTAGATGGTGGGGTAGGTGGGTCAGGTAGATGGTGGGGTAGGTGGGTGGGGTAGATGGTGGGGTAGGTGGGTCGGGTAGATGGTGGGGTAGGTGGGTGGGGTAGATGGTTGGGTAGATGGTGGGGTAGGTGGGTGGGGTAGATGGTGGGGTAGATGGTGGGGTAGGTGGGTGGGGTAGATGGTTGGGGTAGATGGTGGGGTAGGTGGGTGGGGTAGATGGTTGGGGTAGATGGTGGGGTAGGTGGGTGGGGTAGGTGGGTGGGGTAGATGGTGGGGTAGGTGGGTGGGGTAGATGGTGGGGTAGGTGGGTCGGGGAAAATTTGGGGTTGGTGGGTCGGGTAGATGGTGGGGTAGGTGGGTGGGGTAGATGGTGGGGTAGGTGGGTGGGGTAGATTGGTGGGGTAGGTGGGTAGGGTAGATGGGGGGTAGGTGGGTTAGGTAGATGGTGGGGTAGGTGGGTCGGGTAGATGGTGGGGTAGGTGGGTGGGGTAGATTGGTGGGGTAGGTGGGTAGGGTAGATTGGGGGTAGGTGGGTTAGGTAGATGGTGGGGTAGGTGGGTCGGGTAGATGGTGGGGTAGGTGGGTGGGGTAGATGGTGGGGTAGGTGGGTGGGGTAGATGGTGGGGTAGGTGGGTCGGGTAGATGGTGGGGTAGGTGGGTGGGGTAGATGGTTGGGTAGATGGTGGGGTAGGTGGGTGGGGTAGATGGTGGGGTAGATGGTGGGGTAGGTGGGTGGGGTAGATGGTTGGGGTAGATGGTGGGGTAGGTGGGTGGGGTAGATGGTTGGGGTAGATGGTGGGGTAGGTGGGTGGGGTAGGTGGGTGGGGTAGATGGTGGGGTAGGTGGGTGGGGTAGATGGTGGGGTAGGTGGGTCGGGGAAAATTTGGGGTTGGTGGGTCGGGTAGATGGTGGGGTAGGTGGGTGGGGTAGATGGTGGGGTAGGTGGGTGGGGTAGATTGGTGGGGTAGGTGGGTAGGGTAGATGGGGGGTAGGTGGGTTAGGTAGATGGTGGGGTAGGTGGGTCGGGTAGATGGTGGGGTAGGTGGGTGGGGTAGATTGGTGGGGTAGGTGGGTAGGGTAGATTGGGGGTAGGTGGGTTAGGTAGATGGTGGGGTAGGTGGGTCGGGTAGATGGTGGGGTAGGTGGGTGGGGTAGATGGTGGGGTAGGTGGGTGGGGTAGATGGTGGGGTAGGTGGGTCGGGCATAATTTGGGGTAGGTGGGTCGTGTATATGAAATAGATTGGTCGTGCAAAAGGTGGGGTAGGTGGGTGGGGTAGATGGTGGGGTAGGTGGGTGGGGTAGATGGTGGGGTAGGTGGGTCGGGCATAATTTGGGGTAGGTGGGTCTTGTATATGAAATAGATTGGTCGTGCAAAAGGTGGGGTAGTTGGGACGGGTAGAAGGTGAATTTGGCTTGTTTTTATGTGTGTGTGTGTGTGTGTGTGTGTGCTAATACTTAACATAAGTTTTATATTTGACTTTATTCTATTACATAAAAATAACACATTCAATACATTATATATTACTATAAATTTATTTTAATATTTTTATTTTAAAAAATCGTATGTATTTTTGCGATTATGTTGTAGTACAGTATCACCACAGTACACTGTTTTTAACTTCAAATAAAACTTACATTTGAGATAACTAAATTAGTTTCAAATGTTTGATCGATCCCTATCTTTGTTGTTGTCGCTAGGAAGATGTACGACGCCAACTTTGGAGGGGTTGTTGGCTTCAAGACGGCCCAGTACAAGCAAGTCAACGGAAACTCCAATCTGTATTTTGGGTGGGGAGGAGAGGACGATGATATGTACCAGAGGTAGGTTTGGGGAGGGGGTGATGATATGTATCAGAGGTGAGTTTGGGAGGGGGGGGTGATGATATGTATCAGAGGTGGGTTTGGGGAGGGGGTGATGATATGTACCAGAGGTGGGTTTGGGGAGGGGGTGATGATTTGTATCAGAGGTAGGTTTGGGGAGGGGAGGACCATGATATGTATCAGAGGTGGGTTTGGGGAGGGGAGGACCATGATATGTATCAGAGGTGGGTTTGGGGAGGGGGTGATGATTTGTATCAGAGGTGGGTTTGGGGAGGGGAGGACCATGATATGTATCAGAGGTGGGTTTGGGGAGGGGGTGATGATTTGTATCAGAGGTGGGTTTGGGGAGGGGAGGACCATGATATGTATCAGAGGTGGGTTTGGGGAGGGGAGGACCATGATATGTATCAGAGGTGGGTTTGGGGAGGGGGTGATGATTTGTATCAGAGGTAGGTTTGGGGAGGGGAGGACCATGATATGTATCAGAGGTGCGTATAGGGAGGGGGTGATGTTTTGTATCAGAGGTGCGTTTAGGGAGGGGGTGATGATTTGTATCAGATGTGGGTTTGGGGAGGGGAGGGCGATGATATGTATCAGAGGTGAGTTTGGGGAGGGGGTGATGATTTGTATTAGAGGTGACTTGGTGGGGGGACAGGGGCGTAGTGATGGGGGGGGGGGGGAAGGGGGGGGACATATGTCCCCGGGCGCCGACCTTAGGGGGCGCCAAAGTGGGTTGGAAAAAGTAATCGAAAGTTTGAGGGGGTGGTGCAAATCGAAAGTTTGAGGGGGTTGCAAATCGAAAGTTTGTCCCCGGGCGCCGGGAAGGGTAGCTACGTCTCTGGGGGCGGGGGGATATGTATCAGGTGCGTCTAGGGAGGGGGTATATATCAGAGGTGCGTTTGGGGGAGGGGTGATGATTTGTATAAGATGTGACTTGGTGGGGGGTATGTATTAGAGGTAAATTTGGGGAGGGAGGTATGATTGTTTCGGAGGTAAATTTCAATTCGGGGATAGGGAGAATGATATGTATCAAAGGTGACTGATGTGTGAATAGGGGGGGGGGGGGGGAGATAATACGTATTAGAAATGACTTTGGGGTGGTGGTGTTTTATGTATCAGATGTGACTTTGGGGAGGGGGAATGAAATTTATCAGAGTTGACTTGGGTGTGGGGAGGGGATAATACGTATCAAAAATACGTTGGGAGAGGGGATTTATATGTGCCAGAAGTGATATTATCAGATGTACATTAGGAAAGAGGGGATCGTTTCAAAATGTGTCATTGGTAACTAGCAAGAGAAGGAATCACATATATTATTGTAAACATCAAAGCTAAATAATTGATTTACGGAAAGTAAAGTGTTGAATTCTGTTTTGTTTTATGGTCTATGCTTTAATTTTTAAAAGGGTGTGGTTGGGGCTTAAAGTATAATTTAGTTAGCTATCACACAATGACATATAGATTGAACTCACATGATTCCACAGAATCCTGCACGTGAAGATGAACCGAGTGCGGCCTCCTGTAGAATTGGCACAGTACCAGATGCTTTCCCACGAGAGACAGAACCTCGTCAACGGCAACCCTAAAAGGTAAACAAACCACGCTACGTCAGCGTCAGCTTCTTCTTCTTCGTTCTTAATTTTTACTTTCTCGTATATACGAAGTATAGAGAAAGTATTGTAATCGTGCAAAAAAAAATAATCGAGATTTTTACAGATCTCGACGTTTTACACCTCACTGATACGGAAAAACATAATTTTGCAATCTTGTCCGTATGTCTGTGTGTCTGTCTGTCTGTCTGTCTATGTGTGTGTCTGTGTGTAAACACGATTACTTGAGTACCGTTACAGCTAGGATGATGAAATTTCATATATAAGTATTTTATCAAAATCGTAGATCCGTATCAACTTTTGAGCGATTTCCGATAACCGGTAGTGGTACTTTTCCTACTTTGAAATTTTCAAAAGCCTATAACTTGAGTACTATTTAAGATAGATAAATGAATTTTCACATGTAAGTAAAAGATCAAATTCTCTACCTTCTGTTAAATTTTGGGTAATTTCCGTTGACCGGAAGTACTAATTTACGCTACTTCCGTTTTCTCAAAAAACTAATGTAAATTTTTAAAGTACTAATAATATTGCGCACTTCTATGCACTTTTTTATTTGACGTTCACTTGGTGTGCATTTTTTTGTCTACGAGATTTTATTCTATTTTTAAAAGTTTAAGTATTTAAAATGGATTAAAATCATGTCTATAGCCCGAGTTTCCATCCCCTGTTATTTTATATAAGAATATTCGAGAAAGTTTTGGGGAGATCACTCCCGGTTTATTAGTATTGGAATGGATCGAACCTTATATGCCACGAGACTTTTTCGAATTTAGCAACCATGAACTTTGCCGACTCGACCACACCAACACAATTAAGTATACTTATCAACTGGTTATGGGCCATTGAGGCCATTGACTCCGATTTCAGCCTGCTTTTCTTTTTGGATTTGCTTCCATAGCCTTTGTCCAACCAAGAACAAACTTAAAGGCAGCAGTTGTTTGATTTTGGAGTTGTCTCTCCTAGAAGAGCGGCTGTCCCCAGCTAACGAGCCTCATCTGCCCGAGGGTTCGAACTCGAGACTTTTCGGTTTAGCAAAGCGATATTTTGAGTTTGTTGATTTCTATTTCCTGTTTAAGAGAGTTCATGATCACGTGAGTTTTACATTTGGATCTAGTTTACATACGGGCATGTTGACAGCGCGGTGAATGAAGATGGCGGCTGCTGTTGTAGTGAGCACACGGACACACGACAAACGGGTTAGGGGTCATCCATAAATGACGTCGCGAATTTTTGGGACTATTTTTAGCCCCCCTCCCCTCCCCTCCGTCACACATCGTCACAAAAAGCCATACCCCCACTCCTCCCCCCTACGAGTGTGACGTCATGTATGGACGACCCCTTATAAGGGTTCAGGGAAGATCAAGACACATACCCGACACGTTGTTGTTCATAATCGGATTTGGTCAGTGTGGACGATAGAATTGTTATGAAGAGTTCGGTGAATGCGCATATTAAATTGGCGGGGTTCACATATAAGTAAAAGATATACTTTTCTGCCTTTTTTTAAATTTTGAGTAATTTCCGATGACCGGAAGTAGTAATTTACGCTATTTCCGATTTCTCAAAAAAACGCATGTGAATTTATAAAGTACTAATAATATTGCGCACTATTATACACAGATGTTTGGCGTTCACTTGGTGCGCAATTCTTTTTTTCTACGAGATTCTATTTTTAAAAGTTTAATTAAGTAATTAAAAATTGATTAAAAATCTCGTATATATCTCGAGTTGCCATTCCCCGTAGTGTTATATAAGAATATTCGAGAAAGTATAGGGGAGATCACTCCCGGTTTATTTAGTCCAGTCTAAAAACAAAGTTTACAACACCAAAAGTGACGCCTATTTTGTCTGATATTTCTAGGACCGTGCTTCTGAAGAACGCCAGAACACGACAGGCGATTGACGGACTTAACTCCGTGTCGTACAAGGTCATCAGCAATGTCAAGGACACTCTGTTCACGTGGATCAAGGTCGACATCAACATGGATGATATCTTTCAGGTATATCAGGGGCTCTTTTGTTTTGGTGCTAGAGGTATCAACTGACAAGTATATGTTTTCTATATAAATTCCATTTCGTTCGAGGGGTGGGGGGATTGCCTGGAAGAAACTCTGATTTACTTGATTACTAAAAACTTACCTCTTGAATATCTGGCAGAACGCACCAATTCACCTACACACAGCAATACGGGTGATGTCGGACCTGGAGAGGAAACGACAGCAGGAGTTAAAGCAGAAGGCTGGCAGCAAACAGCCGGCTGTACCACCCGAGCAACCGAAACAGCCGGCTGTCAAACCTGACCCACCAAGACAGCCGGAAACTACGGCAGATAAACAGACAGACACATTCCTTGATGTAAAGAAAAACATTAAGAAAAGTCTTGAAGAATATACGAAGAAAGATTCTGAAAAACATCGTAATCAAAACAATATCGAGAAAATTCCGGGCAGAAATCTGGAGATAAATTCTAATCAAGAACCTGATCAAGCTCTCGAACAGAACAACCAAACTGGTGGAAATATTGAAAACAGTGTGACTTAAAAAGGGAATTCGTAAATAATTATAATAATTACAATAATTAGTAAATTAAAAACAAAACAGCCGCGCACGAAGCTCCACAAAAAACAACCCAAACACGAGAATTAACTAACTAACTGACTGACTGACTGACTAACTGACTGACTGACTAACTGACTGACTGGCTCAGTAACTAGAAGAACTCCTTCGCTTACCCAGTCGGGGACTTGAACCCTTTTTCAATCTAATATATATATATATATATATATATATATATATATATATATATATATATATATATATATATATATATATATATATATATATATATATAAATATATATATATATATATATATATATATATATATATATATATATATATATATATATATATATATATATATATATATAAAATGGCTAAAAGTATATTGTTTTGTTTCGATCAGTGCAAAAATGGCCAAATTTTGCGAATTTCGGCGGTTTTCGCTGAAATCAAAGAATTAGGAAGAGATGCAGAATAAGCAGATAGAAATGTATTTTCTTGCTCCTAATGGGTAGCAAACTACGTGCTTCGCCGTGTTTTTCTTTCTTCGCATTTATGTAATTTTCTAGAATAAGCATAATTCTTCTTCTTGCATCCTAAAAGCACATTGCAGAAAGCACATTGAAGAAAACACATTGTAGGAAACCACATTGAAGGAAAGCACATTAGAGGAAAGCACATTAGAGGAAAGCACATTGTAGCAAAGCACATTGGAAGAAAGCACATTGGAAGAAAGCACATTGGAAGAAAGCACTTAACAATAACACAGCTTTAGTAGGACCAACTTTCTGAAATCATTAACAACAGAATTTATGGGAAAAGTTAGAGGGGTTAATCAGTGCAATAACTTGACGTTACTTTTTTGATATATGTATATATAAGAATATAAACCAATATATGTATATATATATATATATGTATATATATATATATATATATATATATATATATATATATATATATATATATATATATATATATATGTGTGTGTGTGTGTGTGTGTGTGTGTGAGAGAGAGAGAGTGTGTGAGTATATATTATTATTTCCTTATGTTTATCTGAAATAGTGCTGTGGAAACTTACCCCTAGCATTAATATTATTGTGACTATGATCTTCCTATTCACGCATACATCGTCGTCACCAGTCGATATGTCATATTGTATCCCATAAAATCATACATCAATATCATCAATATCAATATCATAACGACGTCATATGTAATCATATATCATCGTTTTCACCGCTCTGACGAAAGGGTCAGTTTTTAATTTACTGGGCATTATACGATTTCGCTAATTTCAAGGGAAGTAACTGTTGCAGAATCTCAGTCTTACACATAGTAGACTCCCCTGTAAAATAGTGCATCTCTACGTGGATTATTAAGTTGATTACATATTTTAAATTAAAATTTGAGGTAATAATTACATTCATCATTGAATTTTTTTTTTTAAATTTTATTTATTCGTTAAAAAATTCTGCTGATAATTGTGTGTAAATGTGATGGCGTGGTTCGGTGGTAGAGCACTCGACTGCCACCTCAATCACACCACCAAACCTCTGAGTTCGTACATCAATCAAGACTTGGACTTCTAGGACGTCAGGAATCTACCCAGCTCTGATGAGTACCTGCGTCATGTTGGGTGAAAGTAAATTGAAACATCACATCTAATGTAATGTGGCTTTTCCATTCCATTGAAAAAAATCACGGTAAAAAAAGTATGTACCTATTTAACACAGAATTATGTTTTATATTTATATTCAGATTCTTTCGTTTATTTTCTTATTTATTACAAAAATAAATTACTACAGGATATACATAGTTAAATTGTGTCGAATTGTTTGATGGTGAAAAAGGGTTTGGTAGAGATTTAGAAAGGATACATGACTGAATTAATGACGGCTGATGAGGCTCGTTAGCTGGGGACAGCCACTCTTCTAGGAGAGACAACTCCAAAATCAAACAACTGCTGCCTTGTAGTTTGTTCTTGGTTGGACAAAGGCTATGGAAGCTAATCCAAAAAGAAAAGCAGGCTGAAATCGGAGTCAATGGCCTCAATGGCGCATAACCAGTATCCTTAATTGCGTTGGAGGGGATCCTTCCAACACTATAATTAAGAACGAAGAAGAAGAAGAAGATGAAGAGCATTGATCGAATTAATTGGATACGATAGAGAGTGTGGAAGAGATTAAGAGAAAGTAAAAGAGAGAAAAAATTTCTCTACTTGTAAAGTCATTGTTGTGGACACATAATCCTTCTTTTAATTTACACCTGACCTTAATGCCCGATTACCTATTAGCCATACCCATATAATCGTAGCGTAAAATATGTCAGTATCGATACCCAACTCTTTAGTTTTGTTTAGTGTTAAGGTCAATGTTAATCTTGGGATTGTGCTATAAAGCTTGAAGAACTTTGTTGGTCTGGCTAATCAACAAAATATAACGTCGGTCTTTCTAGTTCATCGTCTTCTTTTCCCTTGTCTTCCCAAGACACATGGGGCAGATGAAGTAGAGCTTATCTACATTAATAACCACGGAATACAAGAGGATGGTGTGGTCAGCACTATGCCTAGCCGCTTCTGTTTCCCTCATGAGATTCAAGTACCCAATAGAGCTGAGTGGACTCGGGGACGTCCTACAAGCTCAAGCTAGGGTTTCGAACTCGAGACTTTCAGGTTAGCAGTCGGGTGCTCTACCCTTGACTTTCTACTTATACCATGTTTAACTGTTGGTGAGATTATAACTTACATAATTCTAAACGTTTCTTAAACAGCTGAATCTGTAATTAAATCCCCTTATTCACAACATAACAGTACACACATTAGGCGCGTTACTGAAATTAAGTTGTGTGTTGTGAACGAACTAGTGAGTTGTATCAGAAACCACGCCCCCTACCGGCTCAGTTTACCCGCTCCAACGGCAAACATACACACGTATTATACCAGACTTTGCCGTTATGTGGCGTCACCTTTCTAAGCCACCGTGTCGGGCACCGTTAAACGAATATCTGGGTGTTGGTTCGCTTGTCAAATTTAACAATAAAATCTCTTTCATGATCTGCGGCAAGTAATGTTGTAACGTTTTACATTTCAACCAGGGGTTCTTGAAATTTCAGGACTATTGACCCTGTATCTGTTCCGGTAAACAATGCTTATCATTATCAAAAGAATATATATGTAGGCGTAGGCCTATATGAATATAACAGTTAAACTTTTTTAAAATTAAAAATATATTAAAAAAACTTAAAATCACAAGCTTTCTTTTAAATACTCTGAAAATAAGAAAAAACGTTTTTTTTTGCTTTTACTTTCAGTACTTTCACGTATATACGAAGTATAGAGAAAGTCTTGTAATCGGCAAAAAAAAAAAAAAAAAAAAAAAAAAATCGAGTTTTTTACAAATCTCGACGTTTTACACCTCATTGATACGGAAAAAACACAATTTTGCAATCTTGTCCGTATGTCTGTGTGTGTGTGTGTGTGTGTCTGTCTGTCTGTCTGTCTGTCTGTCAGTCTGTCTGTGTTGTGTAAACACGATAACTTGAGTACCGTTACAGCTAGGTTGATGAAATTTTATATATAAGTATTTTATCAAAATCGTAGATCCGTAACAACTTTTGAGCGATTTCCGATAACCGGAAGTGGTACTTTTTCTACTTTGAATTTTTCAAAAGCCTATAACTTGAGTACTATTTCAGATAACTAAATGAAATATTACATGTAAGTAAAAGATCTAATTCTCTACCTTCTGTCAAATTTTGAGTATTCCGCACTATTATAAACATCTTTATTCGGCGTTCGCTTGGTGCGCAATTATTTTATTATGAGAGTCTATTCTATTTTAAAAGGTTTAAGTATTTAAAATGGATTAAAAATCATAACTATATCCCGAGTTCCCATCCCCCGTTGTTTTATATAAGAATATTCGAAAAAGTTTAGGGGAGATCACTCCCGGTTTATTAAATAAAAGCTTTTGTCGCTAAAATTTGTAAAAGATCGCATGAGTGGCCGGTTTTTTTTTTACGGAATCATTTAAGTCTATTAATCAGTGTGTTCATTTAATATGGTGTTGTGCAGTGGCGTAGCTACCGTAAAGCTAGCAAGGCATAGGGGCCCAAGGCAAATAGGGGTCCTTTTTCGAAAGTTTGAGGGGGGTGCAAATCGAAATTCTGAGAGGGGGGTGCAAATCGAAAGTCAGAGGGGGGAAGGGGTGCAAATCGAAAGTTTGTCCCCAGTCGCCGGGAAGGGTCGCTACGCCTCTGAGGGGCCCACTAACACTTTTTGCATAGGGGCCCAAAAATCCTAGCTACGCCACTGATGTTGTGTTGACTAATATATAATTATATATTATTTTTTTATAGGTATTGGGTAGCCTATGTTATTTTAAATGTATCTGATATTTAGCTATTTTGTTATTTCTTTGCTTTGTCACTAAAATTAGACGTGTAGTAAAGCACATTGCGTTATGACCAATAATTATTCTTTAAAATTATTTTTCTCAAACAAGTTTAACATTAGAAATATTATAAACATGTGTGTGTGCGTGCGTGCGCGCGTGCGCGTGCGAGCGCGCCCCCTATATATATATTCTTAAACATAAGACAAATAACCCGACGGCTCGCCAATTGCTCATCATATAATAACTTCTGATTTACGTTGAGCATCTCAAGAGCCTCTGAGCAAAATTGAAGCTTTATAGTTCTACCATGAAAGCTTCTGAACTATTAAATAAAGACATTACTATCCTACATTAAGAGTCTCTAAATATAGAAACCGTACATTGAAATTGACAAATCACGTCACACACCACCGTCGCTGGTATACATATAATAATTGTACCCATGTTTTCCTTTTTCAGTTCTACTTGTCTGAAGTTATCTCCCATCTGTAGTTGTAAATAGTTATGTCCTTTTGTGATATTTCGTTTCAAATGTTAATTTCGCCTATACGAGAATGTTAGTGAGGATTTTACCCTTCAATAAGAACAAATGTAGATGAAAAAGATATAAATTTAAGAAAGTAACTAAATACTAAATCTATAAATTAAAAGGGTAAGGGGGTTGTAATTTAAAATTTTCTAAGAAACGGATATTCAGCGCCCAGTCTCTAGTGGTGCATGTAAAGTACAAGATACCCTGACCTACTTCTTCCTTTTCACTAGTCTAC